TGAACACTCAACAAGTCCAACATACTCAACACACTGTGTAGATAACCGAATTAACCTACTAAAGTAGGGGTGCAAACGAGCCGAGCCGAGTCCGAGTCTGGTCAGGCTCAGATCGGGCTCGTTGAAGTTATATAAGGCTCGAGCTTGAGCTCGGCTCGATTCGAGCTTCCTTGTACTGAGCTTGTCTCGAGCTCGTAAGGAATTATACAAGCTCGGCTCGGGCTCGGGCTCAACTCGTTTTTTATCTGACGTGTCTAAATAAGCTTAAGCTTGGCTCGAGTTCGTTAAGAAGCTCGTTTACTAATACCCTAAATCCATAATTTCCCTAATATGTTTTTATTTTAATATTGTTAAATAATATTAAATTATAATATATAAAGGCTAATTTAGCCTCGCGAGCCCAATCAAGCTTAATGACATAGGCTTGAGCTCGAGCTCGGATCGGGCTCGTTTAAAGTCGATTTCGGGTCGAGCTTTTAACGATCCGATCTCGAGTCTACAGTATGACTGGTCCGCCCGCACTGGGCCTTCAGTCGGCCTGGTCCACTCTCCGAGTCTCGGCACGTCTAGTCCGCCCTCTTGGGGCCTACAGCCTATTCGGACCGCTCGCTGGGCCTTCGGGATAACCGGTCCGCCGTGGGTATGTTGGTCTACAACACAAAGCAGGACCCGCCTCAACCCAACCCCAGTCCAACAACCATGTGCACATAAACATTCAATCATATAACAATTCACATCCAATCAAACCGATCTAGCAGATCACATAGCATAACATCATCGTAACCAGGATACCGACCTAACTGGTTACTAGCATAAACCATCCTAACTACCAGGATGCAACATAGCAAATCAATAACATAACAACGATACCCGAATCACAATCCGATAAAGGGCCGGCCTTGGTGCCGTAGACCCTGTCGATATAGTGAGGATAACTCACCTACAACTGTTGACTGAAGTAATAAGACCAAGCTGCTCCGACCACTGACACGATCTCCACCACTAGCCAACACCAAAACACTGAACTCAAAAACAATTGCCAATAATTACCAAAATGCCCCTGAAAGTCAACTGGTCAACCCTTGGTCAAAGTCAAAGTCAAAGTCAACCTCCTGATTGCCTCTACTCGCCGAGTCAACCCGCTGACTCGTCGAGCCCTTATGCTCAGAACTTCCCAATCCGCGACTCAACTCGCCGAGTCACCCCGAGACTCGCCGAGTCCCACAACTCTGAGTCCCCTCGCACTCAACTCACTAAGTCCTCCCTTGACTCACCGATTCACTGCTCAACCAAAAGAAGGTTAGGACCTCATGACCAGACTCGCCGAGTCCAAGAACAGACTCGCCGAGTCCAAGGCTATCTTCAATCAACTCGTCGAGTTCCTGCCCATCTTAATCCTACATCTTAATCCTAGATCTTAATCCATACAGAAGCTTTCCAGGCCATGCAGATGATCCAAACCATAGATCTACCCTTCTACAACCCATCCATCACGTAAAGTGGCAAACTTTACGTGAATCCAAAGAGATCTAAGCATATAACACTCTAGGGTTAGGGTTTGTGACAAGATGGCTTCACCAACCACTCAAGAAAATGGACTTTAATGCACTCTAGACCTTCTCCATTCCAGATCTAAGGTAGCAACCTCAAATCTAACCTCCGAACTCAAAATATCACAAGCTAGGCTTTCCAAAAACTCCAAAATGATGAATCTAGAAGAATAACAGCCCAAGCAATGAAATAATACCTCAAAAGAAAGCTCTAGCAGAAGAGAAATTTGAATCCTTGCAAAGCCCCTTGCTCCAAGCCTCTTAACTCTCCAAGATCCCTTCCAAAATCTCTTCTCCAAGGTTCAAATGCTCTCAAATCACTCACAAACGCGCATTAGGGTTTTCTGGACTTCAAGAGAGGGTAAAGAGGCTGGGGAGGGGTTATAATGTCCTTTATATAGGGCTCATCCTCCGAAATTAGGGTTTTCTCTACACAACACCAACTCGCCGAGTCCAGCCGCCGACTCGCCGAGTTGACCACTTAACACGCGACCAAAATCGCGACCCTACTCGCCGAGGCCATCCATGGACTCGCCGAATTCCTCTTTCACATTTACACTTTGAACCCTGAACTTGCACTCCTGAACTCGGGATGTTACAATTCTTCCCCACTTAAATTAGGCTTCATCCTCGAAGCCTACGGCAACACAACTCCAGAACTACTCTCGCCTCTCGCAATGCACCTCCTGGCATTAACCAGACCAGGTTCCTCAAAACACTACCATCGAAACCCAAAACCTAACTTTCCCTCTTGCGGTGTCCTGACCACCGCTTCAAGCTGGCCACCGGCCTCATCCTCTGATAACCACACTTATAAACTGAGTACCACTCCATGATACTTCACTCGCTCCAGATCACAACAATCACTTGACTCATACGAGCTAGAAATAACCATGAACCATCGGAATCCCGATCTGAGTCTAACTTTATCCACTCCATGTGACAGGATGACACATCCCTTAGTCTCAGAGCAACTCCCACGAGTTCTCCTCCGCAATCTCATACCCGTGCTGAACTGGCTCTAGCATCCTCGGGTTGGGCAAACCCGATACACTGACAGCACCTCCAAACATCCCCTAAGATGAATTTCCACCACATACATAATTCCTTGATCAAAATCAAACTGGAATCAAAGATTCCATCCCTGTATCCCTTTTGAGCCTCTTGGCCCTATACCCGTGGAATTCCTTCCGCAACCTCAGCAGACATCCAACCCAGATGTGATTCCATACCACCGCCGCACACACTGCGCAATAACCATAATTGGAACACCCCAATCATAACTCCGCACTACTGCTTTCACTTCCGTGAACTTACATTCCCTATCGGAGCTACATTCCTTACCCTTTCCTTACCAAAGAGATCCACTTGGCTGCCTTGACACTACCACAAGTGTCACGGTGCTCACCCATACTACACCATTCCCTTATAGCATATCCGCTCTCTCATGCACCACACATGCTCTGAATCCGCTCACAGGGACTCTCGAGTCCATGCACTACCTTCCACTAATCATGATTAATACCCGGGGCCAGACCTTCTGATGCTATCACATCGCAACATACTCATTCCAAATCCTCATACATACCTATCAACACATGTAGAGTCTTCAGCATGACTGGACTGCCTTACCAGGCCTTTAGCCAATCTGGAGTACTCCCATAGATTCAAGTGTGAAATTAATGCATAACAATGGCATTCCTATTTCACAATTAGAATAATCTAAAGCTATTGGTAGCTTGATGTATGGAATGACAAGTACCAGGCCATATATTGCTTATTCAGTGGGAAAGTTGAGTAGGTACACTAGTAATCCTAGTACTCAACATTGGCAAGTAGTCAATAAAGTGTTTAAGTATCTCAAGGGAACCATGGATTATGGATTGAGTTACTTAGCAAATCCTTCAGTCTTAGAAGGTCATTCAGATACAAGTTGGATAACCAACATGGAGGATCATTCCTCAAAAATTGGTTGGGTGTTATTAATTAGGGGGGATGTCATTTCCTAGGCTTCAAAGAAGCAATCTTGCATTACAAACTCAACAATGGAATCTGAGTTTGCTGCGTTAGCTGCTACTAGCAAAGAAGCAAAATGGCTAAGGAATTTAGTCTATTAGATTCCTTTGTGGTCAAAGCCGATAACACCTATATCTAACCTTTGTGACAATCGGGCCGCTTTGGCTAAGGCTTAAAGCCAAGTTTGTAATGGCAAGTGTTGACACTTACGTGTTCGACATAGTATGATTAGAGAACCAATCATGAATGGTGTGATTTCGGTAGAGTTTGTGAAATTGCAAGAATATTTGGCAGATTATTTGACTAAAGGTATGACAAGAGACTTAGTGAACAAGTGTGTTATATGGATGGGATTAAAGTCCATTTAATTCTATAATGGCGAGACACCCAATTACCTTCTAACATGACATTAGGAGTTGAATTAAATATGGAAGGCTCACACTTATAGATTGGAACACATTAAGTATACATCCTAGGTATGTGTTCGGTTCTGCAAGTTAACCAGGTTGAAGTTTAACTTCTTAATAATTTCTTTGATAAAGTGTATATGAAGATACATGAAGTAAAGGAATTACATACATAATTGTGAAGTGTATTCTCATTTAAAGAGGTTGGGGACATGGCCTTAATACAATCATGAGAGGATTACGACACACAACTTTAAAATAGTGTCAAGTTGTATTTCGCTAGAAAGCTCAATAAACTAGTATCTATTTTACTTTCAGGTATTCAGTTGGGTTGAACGGTTCAATTCTTAGAACATCCTGATTCTCGAGTATTTGAATTGTTTGATACTAAAATGAGAATTCAATCGTTTCGATATTTTCATTTATATACTAGTTTGGTTTGTTTAGATAATTTTATGTTAGTTTATAGGTTACACTAAAATGGGGGATGATTGTTGGTAATTTTAGTGTCATCAGACATTTTATGTAATTGGAAATTATATATGAGCTAAGAGGCTTATCATTTGTACTCTATATTATATATTTGGAGAATGCGGAGTGCATGCATATATAAGGTGGAATTATAAGCCAGTACGACAGAAATGAGGGGGTCAATGGGGTTGAGCCCCCTTGTAGGGTCCTAGGGGCAGGGTCCTTAGCGGGGTCCAAGGGGCAGAGCCCCTGGCGGTGGTCCCTTTGTGGTCAAAAATGGTCTTATACCACCCTTTGACATAAATCTGGAAAAATGTAGAACTTGCATAAATATCAGTTCGGGGCGCCAGGGTAACCATTGATTATGTCATTAAATTCATGATTCTTCTAACTATATAGTAGATAGAAACCCTAATTTGTCTAGTATAAATACGACTCCTTTATTGAGCCGTCATATACCTTTTTCAGCTCTTCTTCTTCTACACGAACCCAATACCTTTTGACGATTTTGCTTATGTTTCTGTGCCTAAATACACAAGTGTCCTTTTGGATTATCCTAGAATGAATTTCCTGTAATGTAAACATACCAATGGAAATATAAGTTCGGAAACTAAACTTAAACAATCAAAGAGAAATTTGGTTCTCCACCATCACCCTACTCAAATATCCTCCAACAGCCAATTTCTTTTCCAAACTGTTCGATAGTTTGATCTACGAATTGAGATCTAGAATTAACTGCAAACATAATAATGCATAGATTATTGACTATTTAGTAAGTAGAAATTGCAATGACATAGAAATTTGGGCTTTGATTTCATCAAAGAATCAAAGAACATATATTTTACAGGAAGTGAAAATTATACTCTCTGTTAAAAGAGAAACTATCACAAACCATGGACACTTTGATTGATCAATTACTCATTGTTTACCATAGGCACCATTTCATACTCAAAAGTGTCCTGGAATCTTTTTGGAAACATAAATCGACCACCAAAACGTTGCTGCAAGAAGACGATCAGTGCAAACACAATACCTTCGCAAGCAATGAAAACATCCCAAGAAGGTGAATAGAAATCTGCTCTTGGGTTTGCATATAGATAGAACTGATGAAACTGGTGACTTATGTTTTTTTGACTCCTATAAATATCATAGGCGTGAGGTAGTGTTCGAACAAAAGTGTTCCCTATGTAAAACAAATAAGACAGAGCATTCCCTTTTGAAATCTTAAACATGTTAAGTACGATCTGTGGGAATAGGAATCCGTCTAGTGTTAACCCTGCATAAGACCTCAGATCACCCCAGATTGATCGATTACTTGAGATAAAGTACTCATCGTTCTTCCAATTCACTAGAAACATCATCAACCCACCAACAATATAAACTGGTAAACAGATGACCAGAGTCCATATCTCATGATTCCAATGACTCTTTCCCTTTCCATTATTGTCATTCCCAGATTTTTTAGACCATGTCAATTGGAGGAGACGGAATTGCAAAGTGAAAGCTACCATTGTAACTATCCTAACAATGACTTTATTCACCTCAAGCAATCCACCACTACCCTCGAGTTGAATGTTTTGAAGATAAGGAGTCTCTGAAAACATTGCCTCGAAATTCAACACTAAAGGAACCACATACCCAAGTGTAAGAATCACCATCATCAAAACCAAAATCAAAGGAATCATATCCGGATTTTTTTTCACATGAAAGATTTGAAGTACGATAAAAAAACAAGAAAGTGTACCAGAAATCAAGTCCAGTATAATTTCCAAATCCATTCTCCATATCGATTCCATGGCTTCGAGTTTAGTGTAAGTGAGAGAAACAACATTTAGACTTTCGAAATACAAAACATCTGTCTTTTCACGTAAGCTTTCTATGCTTCCCCTGATTAAAAAACTTCCATTATTGCCATTAGTACTCGGGAATTGGAATTGCACCAGAATCTCGCAATCGAAAGATTCATTTTCTGAATTCTTCCCAGAAGAAGGTAGATTCCGACACCCAACCATACAAAGTCTTCCGGTTTCATTATCATAAAACCCTTCTGCAGATATCTCAACTCTACCATTGTTGGTTGAGAATAACGACGAAATCCCGCTTCCCGATTCCGACGTTAAATTAGCAAACATTCGGAAGCTAATCTCATAGCTGATGTTCATGGGACCGGTGTAACTGGTGGGGTCCTGCCATGAACCAAAATTTGAATCGAAAGCGTCATACGAGTGGTAGAACTGCTCCCTTACAAAGATCGGAATTGCAGAACCAATGGAATCCATGTTTCTGTACTTGACAGACATGTCGAAACTCATATCCCCATTATACCCTGATGGGTACTCAACCCCTTCCCTTTTACCAACGTTTGTTTGAGGGCAAACTTGTCTTACTTTCTGTAATTTTGTGAACTCATACATTGATCCGTAATACTCCGAACTATGATCAAAGCTTTGAAACTTGATTGGTTCATAGTACCCGACATCATCCGCTTTCTTGGTTGACCAAATTTGACCTTCGGTGGTATGTGTGTTCATGATTGATCGAACTTCAGGGAAATATAAGGTCAACCTGATCGAACAATCTCCGACATGAGCACTTCCCAAAGGGTCAGTTTGATTCAAGATATGACATGCGACTATACAAAGCTCTTCTTTTGGCCCATTCCATGTTGCATCTCCAATTAACGTTACATTTGGATTGAAAGATTTATCCCAACGGGTATTACTTGTGTTTTGAAATTCTACTAAAAAACGTAACTTTTTCTCTTCCACTGAACACTGAAACCCATACAACGATAAAAACGGGTACCCCCTACGTTGACTTTCCATCTGGTAAATCAGGAATCGATATGTGAACTTTGAACATAAGTCTAAAGAATCCAGACTAGCTACTGGATGTTCAACTGCGTTTGCCCCATTACAATCTTCATTGGAAACCAAAGAATATTTGTATTTGAACTGAGATACTTGAGGGAATCCCATCATTGAAATCGGCTCAAAATAATCTGAATCATGAGGGGAAGCTAAACTTTCCAAGGTTCCACTGACTAAGCTAGTATTCAAATTCATTAGCCTAGGTAAATTAAGCTTAAGAACACCATCAAGTTTCAGACGTTTACCTTTTTTGGAAAACCAATTTGCGGATCCAACCATACAAAGCTTATTCGTGGAAACTGACAAGAACCCATCTAAGTTAAACACCAATGGACGATAAAATCGTGAATGGTATGATTGGAAATGGTATATACTTGGTGGAACGAAAGTTAATTGAGCTTGGGTTTTGTATGTGTTGGAGGTGTTTGTTTTGAAGATGTTATAATCTTTGGGTTTAAAATGGATATAACTATGTGAGAGTGAATCTTGGTCGAGAATGTTTTTGGCGCCAGTGTAATGACTGGTTATGGTTTCGAGAAATGGGAATCGGGTGTATGTGATGGTGGTCGGAATGGCTTCGGGGACGAAGGAATTGCAGTGATCGGAATAGGAGATTGTTTTAGTTGAGGAAAAGACTGTTGTAATAAGTATGAAGATGGTGATGGTGATGAAGGGAATGGAAAGGATTTTTGAAGGAAAGAGTGAAGGATTCATGGCTGGAATGAGTGTTGGTTGATTGTTGACTATATTTTGGTCATATAGTGTGTTTAATTGGTCAATGGATTGTGGGAAGTGGGGACAAACTGTTACCTTCTAAGAAAGAAACAAACATGGATTTTGATTCACTCTATATGTCGATGGTTGGTCAACTTTAACGATTTAACTGTCAGTAAATCCTAAAAGCAAAGAACATTTAACCAAACAAAAAACAAGCTTAGTTGAAGCAAAATCAAAATTAAACCTTAAATTCCAACTCTAAAAGCAAATTCGGGATATTAAGATAGGTAACAAAACTCTTTTTGAGGGATGATGAAACCAGTTGAAATCTTGAAAGATCCAATTGATTGTTGTTGATACGAGTGAATTATTTATCTGCTCTTTCGGCAGAACGGTTTCAAATTTATATTCGCTTCAAATTACAATTTATAAGGAAAATGATTTTAAAGGGTAATGAACTTTGTATATGTTTAATCATTTTTATTTTATTTTTATATACAATTTATCATTAAACTCATCCAAGTTGTTCAAATGCCTATCATTTTGATCGGGTATTACACGTTAATTGTTTTTTTATACAAAATTTTACCATCAAACTTTTTTTTATACACGATTTATCATTAAGTTATGTTCCGGTCATCTTTCTGGGCAACACCATCCACACTTGCCACACCATCCATCTCCGACAACAAGGACCGCCTTCTATCACCACCACAACCACCTATAGCTAATCTAAATTTAAGAAGAAATGGGCTAGAGAGGGATGTGGGGTGGGGTGGTTTTCGCAAATCAGCTGGAGATAGGGGCAAGGAATGTTGGGAATTCCACAAAACACGTTAAGCAACTTCAGACAATAGATAAGCGTATTTGGTAAAACATACGAAATAAATCTTCTAAAAAGATGAAAAACACGAACACAATATTTAAGATGGTTTCGGTAAAAGTGATCTACGTCCATGAGCGGAGAGAGAGAGAGAGAGAGAGAGAGAGAGAGAGAGAGAGAGAGAGAGAGAGAGAGAGAGAGAGAGAGAGAGAGAGAGAGAGAGAGAGAGAGAGAGAGAGAGAGAGAGAGAGAGAGAGAGAGAGAGAGAGAGAGAGAGTTTCATTAACATCCAAGAAAAATTATAATCACTCACAAAGGTTGCGCTGCAATTGAGCTCTCAAAACAAAATAATCTCTCTTAAATGTGCTCACATAAAACAAGCCCGAATAATGATCGAGATGTGTGCATATTTATAGAAAAACATGGAAAACCCTTATTATGATGTGTCAAATCCATCCATACTTAAACCCCGAACGGAATCCGTCGATCACAAGACACCATGTTGCTACATTAAGAAAATCTTCAATCTCGAGGGATGTGATTGACGACCTACCATGCACCTAAGAGCACGTTCTTAAGCCACAACAACACATTCTTAGCTCCAACAATGCATTCAGGTACTAAAGCATATTCATATACATATGTGTAAATTATTGAATAGTAGAAACAAAATACAACTAGAGTTTCATTATTATGAAAAGAAAGTACAAATACAATGAAAGGGGAAAAGAGACTAATAAGCAAACTAATTAGGTTAAACCTATCTAAAGGTCTAAACATAGGGCCCAAAAGAAAATATCCCAATAAAATTATTAGGCTAGCATCCTTTCTCAAACTCACAAAGCGACATCACTAAGCATGGACCCAATCTACTATGACAAGTATGATTTGAAACAAAACACATGATCTAAGGACCTCGAAGAACACTATGAAGCTAATAAATGCCTCCTGCCTTACCATTATCCACCATCCATTTCGAATATAAACCCTGAATTCTACAATTATTTTTATTCAAAACAACCTCACTTTTGTTGTCTTTTCAAAGTTTATGAATTGAAAGAAGATTTATATTAAAATCCAGGACAAAAAAAACATCAAAAGGGTTAAAGAGTTTAACAGTTCAAATTCGAATAGTTTTAATTTTGGTAGAAGAACTATTTGGATCTTTAACAAGAAAAATTTAGACACATCCACAGTGTCATGAAGAAGGAAATAAGAACCAGTCATATGTTGATTAACTTCGTACTCAATGACCTTTTTTTTGTAATTAATGGTAGAATTATAAGAAGTTAATAGTAAAGTATGTGTCATATTTGCATTGATAAGTGCTTCATTAGTTAGAGCATTTTCATTAATGAGATGAAGAAACTTGTTGATTGTTCTATTGTTAGATGTCAAATTTCAGACCTACCAGAGTTTTCTTAGAGGTACATAAGATGAACAAGTAGATTGGGTATGAGATGAAGAAGTGGTAGAGTAATTTCTACCTTTGTTATTTGGATTATATTCACTTTTAAATTTAAAGTCTTTTCGAAAACCAACATTCTTATAACATTTGTCAATAGACTGATCCTTTATACCATAATCTTTACATTGAACGTGTTTTTTTTCCTTTCTTATTACTTGCTTTATTGTTAAAACGAGTACTAAAAGTAGGAGCAATAGTTTTATTAACAATAGAAGAGTTAGTTAAAGGATCACCCTTTTGATGTGATTCTTTACAAGAATAATGAATAGAAAAAGAATTTTTAACATTCAGAAGAGGATCCATTAATAGTATATGACTTTTAACTTTATTTAAAGAGTGTTCAAACCACTTACGAATTGCACTAATTTAATGAGTTTAGCATGATCATTAAGATAAGCAAAAGCTTCACATGTATACTCAATGAGACTTTTGAGGCCAAAAAACTCTTTCCAAAGATAATCCAATTTATTAAAGTAATCAGAGAAGGAAGATCCACTTTGTGTAAGTGAATTAATCTTTTGAAGAACATTTAAAACCACATAACCATAAGATTTATTATATGTTTCAAATAATTCTTTCCAAAATCCTTCAATATTTTTAGAATAAGCATGATTAGCACATATTGACTCATATATAGACCTCATGATCTAAGAACAAGACCCCATGAAGCCAAAACAGACAACAACATTATCACACGTTGGGTAACAACAAAACAAGGTAAACACTTTAGACAAATATCAAAAAACAAACTTTGGTGAACTCTTGAAAAATTCTGAAAAAAACTTAAATCAAAAGAACACAATGTTTAACGTGGTTCGGTGATGATGACCAATGTCCACGGGAAAATATGAGAGAGAGAGAGAGAGAGTGTGTGTGTGTGTGTGTGTGTGATGATCTTATTAATTTTCTGGAAGTATTACAAGCACCCAAAATTATATCACTTTTATCTCTCACATAAATGTAGCAATTTACAATGATGGGGGTATGAGCCTATTTATAACGTCTCAAAAATCACAACAAATTAAACTTTTCAAAAACTACAATTCAGTCCATAAAATTTTGCAAAACTATTGTTTCCAAAGTGTTTTCAATAATCAGTCTGTCCTAAAAATCCAGATAACATAAAACAGACGGATGCGCATGATCACGCCTTCGCCTTGCCACAATCCTTGGAAGTACCTGAAACAAAACTAAACTGTAAGCCAATGCTTAGTGAGTTCCCCAAAAGTACCAACACATTACATAACAAACAACAGCATGCATACAAAGCCTTCAACATGTCTAGACCACCTTATCGGGCCTTCAACCTATCTGGAGCGCTCTTTGGGCCTTCAGCCTAACTGGACTGTTTTTCAGGTCTTCTAGGTCTATCCGAACCGCCCTGGGTATCTTGGACTTCAACATCAGTCAGTCTGCCTCGACCCAGTAAACCATAACATATTGATATGCACATTATCAATCAATAAACAACAAACACAGGTAATCCTACAAATCTACCAGTCTAATCACATAACCAGTAACCACATATCTCCACATAACATCATACAACACATCAAGATATCCAATCCAATGGTCGGCCTTAGTGACTTCAACCCATAAGTACATTAAGGAAAACTCACCTCTCAGTCTGAATACAGTTTAAATGAATCTCTACTCCGACAATCCGCTCTACCCGACTCTTACTAATCAAAATATAACATCTCAAAAATACAGACCAAAAACTTCGTTTGTGATATAGAAATTTATAAAACAATTTATAGAAAACATCATCAAGTTATTTCATTTCACAAAAAGCCATAGATCATAAGTCTCAAAATCATGTCATCACATACTAACAATGTCAGAGTACAAATCCCAAGAATCTCATATGTGGAAATCGTGTGTGTGTGTGATGACATGATTTTGAGACTTATGATCTATGGCTTTTTATGAAATGAAATAACTTGTTAATGTTTTCTATAAATTGTTTTATAAATTGGTATATCAAAAATGAAATTTTTGGTTCATATTTTTGGGATGTTAGAAATTGGTATCAGAGCCTTGGTTTGAGGGATTCGGACACACCTTCGGGGGTGTCTGGACTCAAATGCAGGGTTTGAAAGTTTTTTTACAAAGAAAATAGTTTTTCTAGAAATTTAAAATTAAGAGTTTTGAGAAAGAACAAGGTGTGTGATGCATCCAATCGGTCGAGCTCAAGTAAGTTTTCCCCAAGATACCCATACATGTTATGTTATGATATGATATGATTATGAGAACCGCATGCTAGATTAGGGCTGAGGATCTAGGAAGGATGCCTTATATGCCTATTATATGTGTATGAGAATTGCATGCTAGATTAGTGCTAAGGATCTAGGAAGATACCTTATGTTCCTGCTATATGTGCTTATTAAATTTCATGCTAAAATTGATTAGTCAGTGATAAGATGGCATGTATTGGATACACTTGGTTCCTTTACTCAATGCTCGAATGCTGCTTGCTTTGTGCTTTCAGGAGTTCTAGTTATCATTGACTAACTAGTAAATGAATACGTTAAGTTACATATTGCGAGGACTAAATAGTTTCAGAAGGTTAGGTCTAACCCTATTTTGTAGCTCTTGTTTGAGTCCAACCATTGTAGGGTGAGACCTCTCATTCGAAGAATTATATGGTCTTTTTGATATGTATTGGTATTTGTGAGGTAGTTAGGTAAAGGTAGCAGGGATTTC